TTCACTTTCTTTTAATATAAGATGCTCCAAGGCTCTTTGTTGTTTATAAGTTGCATCAAGTCTGTTCCAACTCATAGCAATCCTTTATAGGGTTTCCAAGGCGCAGCTGATGGGTTTGAACCACTGACATTTTCCAGTGCTTGTCCACCAGAGCCACATCAAGTTGGAAGGATAATAAAATTAAATAGCTATATGATACTGAGTCTGTGCTTTTTTCATATAGTATTTCATTTGTTTTATATAAACCTGTAAATTTAAGCAAGTGTTTTTCATTTAAAAATTTTACACACTTTATTCTTTTAGCCTGTTAAGTAATGATTTTTTAAAATTCAATTCTCATTGTGGTAGTTCATGCATGATATGATACTTAACGGAAATGATCTTTGCACAAAAATCAATATTATCTTGTTACACATTATCATTGGAAATATTGAATAGTTAGGATTGTGGTAAATGGCCATTGTGTCTGGATTATAGTCTTTATATATACCTTTCTATTGCTCTGTGTGGTACATATAAAGACTATAATCCAGACACAATGGATCATATCATATGTACCATCCTGTTGCTCTGTATATAAGGAGCTCTGGTAGTGTAGTGGTTACGACCTGGGCTGCTAACCTCAAGGTCGGCAGTTCAAGACTGCTGGCTGTTCCGTGGGAGAAAGATGAGGTTTTCTGCTCTCATAAAGATTTGCAGCCTTGGAAACTCTGTGCAGGGTCACTATGAGTTGGAACTGACTCCACGGTACTTAACAACAACAACATTGCTCTGTATGCACTCTTAGTGTGGTGCTATAGGATCAGCACTGGACTTCAAACCACAAAGCCAACAGTTCAAACCCACCATGTGCTCTTAGGAAACCTTATACAGGATTGCTATGATTTGGAACCGACTTGACAGTACTTAATGGCACTTAACAACAACATTGCTCTGTATGAATGAAAAATTCTAACTAACCCTGAGACTTGTTTTCAAACTAAGCCAAGTTCATACATCAATAGATACTAGAATATGTAATTTTCTCATTTGTTTGTCACTTTCCCAGAAAATTAGTACATGCTCCTGAAGGGAAACCTTGGCCTTCCAATTTTTCCAGCATGGTTATCCTTGTATCCCCAAAACTCCTTTAATGTAGTGTGATGTGTGCAATACAATTGCTTGTTAGCTTATCTTTCTTTTTTAAATGGAAACTGATGACCCAGCACATGTAACTTTATATTTAAATAATTGAAACAATGGAAAATTAAACTACTAAGTACAAAGGTAATGAACTAGCCTAATTTGACATAATATCGTATTATGTCCCCAAAGTTCAAAACCTGAATTGATAATAGAACTTATCATCCAGTCATTAATGTTTCCTAACCAATATAGATTTTGGTTTTAGCTATTTGCATGATTAATTTATTTCCCTGTTTGGGTTATTATAGTTTTTCTCCCTAATCAAACTTGGCACCCATTCTTTCTACCCTTCCTACTTTTTTCCCCCTTTAAATAAACGAGCATTACTTAAGGTTGATTCCACATTCCATTTTACCACTGTAAACATATTTTTTTAGCACATCCTATTATGTAGTGTGCTTTGAAATGAAGATTTTTTTCAAAACGTGTAGAAGACATTGTGAACAAAATCTTATTAAACTAGTTCATAGTATGGTGACTGACTGATTATAATCTACTTTTTGAGGTGGTTATGGGTAGGAGTGAGAAGTGAGGGTTAGGGTTGTGGCCATGGATAGTTTAGGATAGGCATAGGAATTCATATGGTTATGGTTATGGTTAAGTCTATGGTTATTGTTAAGGATAATGGTTGGGCTAGGTCTAGGAGTAAGGTTTGGTCTAGTTTTGGGGGTTACAGTTAGGCTTTTTTTTTGGTAAGTTTTTATTGTGAATTATGTGGGTTTACATGGGTGAACATCAGTTTTACATTCACCCTATTGTATTTTGTTTCATTGCAATGATTACAGTCCCCTCCATGCATCATCAAATAACCAAAGGGTACACCCCACAGCCCTGACCTCTGGCCATCAGCACACAGCCCCTCTCCCTCCCTGAGTCCATTGTTCCCAGCTGCACCATTTGTCCACGTCTTCGTCTCTGTCTCCATCTCTGGCATCACTGTTTCTCTGGGTAGGTTCCCGCACTTCGCTCTTCTCACTTGATGCAGTCCACTCCTGGACTGCAAAATCAATCACTTCCCTCCGTGATTGCATCTACCTTTGCATTTCTGACCCTCACAGTCAGTCCTGATAGCAACTATTCACTATTGTACCTCAAGAGTCTTATCTCCATCTCCTTTCATCAGCCCTATCCGAACAAATTGGAAACCATTCAGTGGAGATTCTACTTCCCCTGACCCATCTGGAACTAGGCACCCTCTTGAAAGCTTGTAAACCAGTCACTTTTTGGCTTTTTTAGCCCCCTATTTTGAGTAGCCAATGTTTAAATTGCCTGTCAACCCTGTATTCCGAGGGAGTGGGAGCTCGTCACTGTAGAAATATGTTCCCTTTTTTGAGCTAGTATATCCATAAGTATAGGTAAAGTTCATTAAATTGTAGAGTGTTACTCCTTTTTTTTTCCTCTTCTTTCTTCTTCTAGTCAAGTTCTGATCATCCAGCCATCGAAGCCAGGTCAAGTGGGTACTATCTGCAAGTGTGGGTGTTTTTGTGTATCTCCCCTCATTTAATATCAGCTGGACACTTCACTCTCCACTCTAGTCCTCTATGGTCATGTCACTGCAATTAGGCTTATTTTTATTTAAACATTTTCTTAAAATATATTTGTTTTCTTCCTCATTTGGAAGTTATGTAATTATATTAGTCCCTCTTATTAGTTGATTTGTTGTTGTTGCAACTGTATCTCTGTTTCTCTGTTTTCAGTCTTGTTGGTCAATTTTACTTTGCATACTCTATATAACTGGGTTGAACCTAGGTGATATTGTCATATAGGTTAGTCTCAGGTTGTTGTATACTGTTGTTGGTTCTCTGTCCAAAGAATTCCTTTTGTATTTTTTGTAAGCTTAATCTGGGTTTTCCAAATTCTTTTAATTTTTGTTTGTCTGAAAATGACCAGATTTTGCCATCATATTTGATGGACACTTCTTCTGGATAGATTATTGTTGGTTGGCAATTTGTTTCTTTCAGAGATTTATATATGTAATTCCATATCTTCTTGCCTATATGGTTTCTGCTAAGAAATCAGTGTTTAGTCTTATACTCTTTTTAGGTATATTTTTTGTTTTTCGTGAGCAGCTCTGAGGATTCTTTCCTTGGTTTTGGTTTTGAAAAGTTTGATTATAATATGTCTTAGTGTTTTTCTTTTGTGTCTATCCTATTTGGAGTTTGTTCAGCTTCTTGAATGGCTCTCTTGTTATCTTTCAAGATGTTTGAGTTTTCGTCTTACAACTCTTGGACAGTATTCGTTATGTTTGTTTGTTTTTGTCTCCTCCTGGAATTCCTATTACATGTAAGTTATTTGTCTTAGACTTTCTTTATGTTTTTGGTTCTTTTTTTGATGGTCCTTGTCACAGATAATTACTGAGCGATTTATCTTCAAGCTTAATATTTTGTCTTTCTAATTGTTGTTTTGTATGATCCCTTTTTTTCAATTACTTTATCAGTTTCCTGAAATTTTCCATAGTTTTGTATATCGTCTCCTTGATTTCATCTGTAGTCTTCTTGATCTTTCTCAATCTATTGACTTTGCCTTATTAGGATTCTTTTAGATTTCTTATCAGGTAATTCTGATACCATTTCTGATGTTATAGTTTCTGACTCAGTATTTTAGTGACTTGTTTGAGTTACTTTGTATTATTTTTTTTGTGTGTGTAAGCAAAAATTGTCTGTTTTCTTCAAGACATTGTGGTGTGGTATTTATAGTTATATGTTTCCATTTATATTTAGTGGATAATTGAATATTGGTGTATTCTCAGCACCTGTCTCCTGGTGGGTGTGGTAGAGACTGGAAGTGTAAACACAGTTATCTCTGTGTTCACTGTTGTGCAGCATAGTTCAGAGTGGGTTCATGCACCTCCAGAACCAGAGGTGCTCTGCCAGGTGCCAGACCCCATGCAGAGCATAGGCTGTGCAGGATGGAGTGCCGCTGGCCACTGGGTTTGCAAGGGCAGGGACTGGCCATGCCCCTGGTTACCAAAAGGCACCAAAACAAGGAAGAATTGCACCTGTTTTCCACCAGTCTCCTGCTTAATCTTGTGCCCACAGACTGCTGTAGCAACAGTTACTAGCAAAAGCTCAAGATGGCCACACCATGCCACGCCACCAATAGTCCACCCATTTTCCTTCTTTCTCACTGTTGCTGTTCAGCTTTCTCTTCCAGTCAGCACTCAGTTCACCTCTCTGTCCTATTCTCTGATGCTCAAGTTTCCAGGATCACCATCTCTGCAGTATGTGTTTGCTGCAGAGGGTCTTCGCCTCAGTGTATCTGCTTACTCTACCATTTTACCTCAGAGTCCTTATAGTCCATTTTTAAAGTTCACAGTAATATTTTCCCTCAATTTTAGTTGTTACCAGTGTTTAGTGTTGAATCCCAAGAGTCCAAATGCTTATGGAGTTTTTCCCCTCTGCTTCTTTTTTACCAGGATGGCTTTACCCCCCTAGCTGTGGCCCTCCAGCAAGGACACAACCAGGCAGTGGCCATCCTCTTGGAGAATGACACCAAGGGGAAAGTGAGGCTACCAGCTCTGCATATTGCAGCCAGGAAAGATGACACCAAATCTGCCGCACTTCTGCTTCAGAATGATCACAATGCTGACGTACAATCTAAGGTAAAAGCTGAAGGCATTTGTGGAAAGAATTCTCCGGCTGCCAGATTCCTCCAGGGGCATGATAAAGAAGTAGGCCATGATGATAATGCAAACTTACTTCTGGTCATGAAAAGAGATCAGTTCCTTTCAGAGGTATTTCAGAAAGGAGGGGGCTGTCTATTGGGTAAAATAACAACAAACAAAAAATAATAAATGCAAGACAGTTTTTCTTTTCTTAGGTTCAACATTTTTAGAAGTCTATGTTTTCTGTGTATAGTCATAATTAATAGAAACAGAATCAGAAAGATAATACTATAATGTATAGTGTTGTGGGCTGTATTTTCTCAGTAGAATGCATTTAGACATGTTGAAACAGTATAACCAATTGCAGTGAGCAACTTGATTGTTTCCTTAATTTTGCACTGTGTAATATCTTCCCTCTTTTTCCCACACAACACTGCTTCAGATGATGGTGAATAGGACAACCGAGGTACAGTATTGTGGTTATGCCAAGATATATATTATTTTTATATTTTTTTTCATTTTCTTTATCCAGTTAGAGAAAATGCTCAATAATTCATACTAATACTTGGAACTTTAATTATTTGGAAATTAATTTTAAAACTTTCTCCAGATTTAAGACAAATTAGTAATTCAAAAATATTTCAAGTAACAAATCAGAAATCTTTAATCAGTGAAACATATTTTATTAGATTAACTAGTTTACCTCAGTAGAGTATGCTATGAAATTCTTACTAATACATATTTTTATTAATATTAAGTAAGACTTCCATAGCATAATCTACTGAGATACATTAGTTAAATGAGACCTCAGAGAAGACTTACTTTTTATTTTTATTTTTTGCCAAGAAGAGATTTCTGACATTAGAGTTTGTTGTTGATAGATACCATAAAGTCGGTACCGACTCACAGCGAACTTGTGCACAGCAGAACATTAGAGTTTAGCTAAGTAAAAATGGGGAGCTTTTACATCCACTGTTTCATCCTTTTATCTAACATCAGTTGCTCTTTTTTTCCCCTTGTATGCTTTCTTCTTACCACATTTTATGTAATCAATAATGATATTGAGTATACCATAAACAAAGCATTTGCTTTTTTCCTGCTAAATCTTAAAATACTTGTCATGAAATCATCTATTTCCTTTCACCAAAATAACCCACATTCATCAGCAAAAACATTAAGTAAAGTCCTGTCATTGTGTGTGTGTGTGTGTGTGTGTTTGTCTAGCAATCTAGCATACTGGTTACGAATCAGGCTGCTAACCTCAGGGTCAGCAGTTCTAAACTACCAGTTGTTCCGTGGGAGAAAAATGAGGCTTTCTGCTCCCGTAAAGATTTACAGCCTCGGAAACCCTGTATAGGGTTGCTCTGAGTCGGAACTGACTTCACGGCACATAACAACAACAACAACAACAACAGAGAGTCAGTAACACAAGCAATGTTGAAAGTATATTATAAAGATGTTGTTGTTGTTATTAAGTGCCATCAAGTCGGTTCCAACCCATAGCAACCTTGTATGGGGTTTCCAAGGAGCAACTGGTGAGTTGAACCAGCGACCTTGTGGTTCAAACCAACTTTGCAGTCCAGTGCATTAGCCCACAGTGCCATACCTAAGCCTATATTAAAGGCAAGGGATTATGTAGCTTGACAGTGACTTTGTTGAGAGGGACTCTTTAAACTAATAGCTCATTCGGTCACTTAGTTTTGAACTTGTGGCTGTTTTTGGCATTCACACTTAGTATTTAGTGAGAGCAATATGTTTTTAAATTATTATATTATTTTAAACAAATTTTATCCATTGCAATATGAAGTTATTTGAATTGGCCTTTATCATTTCTTCTGGTGCATATCCTTGAATGGAATCTGTCTCAGAAACGTTAAAAAAAAAAACCAAAGAGTCCTACTGCTTGGTGAAATTAAACCATACAAATTGAATTCTTATAACTAAATTTATTTTTTCTGTTGCTTTTTGGTAATTGTTTAAAATAAATTCTTCTTTTTCCCCCACCTTTTTATTGTAGATTGAGGGAAGGTTTACAGAGCAGATCATCAGTTTTACTTTCAACAAATCATGTACTTTGCTTCATTACATGGTTGCAACTTCCTCCATGTACCAACAGTTAACAACATTTATCTCTATTGCATTCCTCCCTGTACCTCCGTCAACCTTCGTCTATTGCTTGCTAACCTGCCTCTTTTATATTGCCTGCCCTGTCACCTGTGTTAACATGTGTCTACCCTCTAGCCCATGAAGAATTTTCCCTTCCCTCACCATCACCATCATAGATTGTATTTAAGATAAATTCTTGGAACGTGAGATTGATTATAAGTATTGTATTAAATGCTGCACTTGCTGTTAAGTCGGCTGTGACTAATGGTGGGCCATATGTGTATGAGTAGAACTGTGCTCCATGGAGTTTTCAATGATTGAAAATCCAGAAGTAGGTTGTCTGGACTTTTTTCTTTAACCTTTTGATTCGCAACCTACCATGTTAACTCTTCGTACCACTCAATTACCCCTTTGAGCAGATTGACACTAAATTGTTTCTCAGTTTCCCACCGCCACCAAGTCGATTCTGACTCATAGCAATCCTATATAGTTTGTTGTTGTTGTTAAGTACTGTCAAGTCAGTTCTGACTCATAGTGATGTGTATGGGTTTCCAAGTAGCAGTTGGTGGATTTGAACTGTCAACCTGGCAGCACCAAACCAGAGCCATAAATCTTTATGGGAACAGAAAGCCTTCTATTTCTTCCATGGCATGGCTGGTGGGTTTGAACTAACCAACCTTGTGGTTAGCACAATGCTACCAGGACTCCTTTATTTATTTAGTAGTACTAAAATATTACTTTGAGGACAAAAGAGTAATAAAGTGAGAGAACCCTCCATCTGTAATCCTGTTAAAAGGCTAACTCTGCTTCCCACCTTCTCCTAGACCAGGATGAGTTCCCCTGAATGGGCTTAAAGCAGCCTGGTGTTGATTTAAGAATGACATTAACATGATGTTCAATGAGGCTGCGTCAGAAAATAAACTAGTTTATTTTGATGAATGAAATATATAATATTATTATATTTAAATCATTTGAAAATTGTTCACCAGCAGTTTTTCTGAAATTAAATTGGAGCTTGAGTAATAGGCATTCAGGATATGTCTGTATGGCAGGAGATAACAAGATAAAATGCAAAAATACCCAATGATTTTCTAAATATAAAATTCTGACATTAAAAAAAATAATAGTCAAGTTGTAGATTGATTTCCCCTCCATTTTCAATTGATATCATGCAGACACAAAATAAAAATATCTTGACCAGAGTATATGGATTTGGTTGACAAGTTAAATTATTTTATTTTGTATCCTTTCCTCTAGACAGAATTTTTTTTTTAAAGTCAACAAGTGAGTAGAAAAATAAAGATCGGTATTTAGAAGATATTTTAAAATAAAAATTTATGTGCACAGGAGAGTGCATTAAAAAAACCAAAAAAAAAACCCCTCAAAATTGCATTATTTTATATGCAACTAACAGTCTCTTTTGTTTCCATAATTTTTATTAAGTAATGAAAACTATAGTGGGCAAGGAAAATAATCAATTGATATTCATTTTTGCACTTTAATAAAAGTTAATACACTTCTGTTGTAAAATTGGCAAAATTTGCTAACTAAATTTTCATCAGAAAAATAAATGATAAAGAATATATACTTTCTTCCATTAAAAAATTTCAGACTTGTTGTTTTAAAATAATCTGAGAGCAAACATTTCATTAATGCTTATCTAATTGAGGTAAGTTGGTTAATTCTATGACATAATATTTTAAAAATAAATTTTGGTTTAATTCCACAACATTCAAAATTAGGTCAGCTAAACTTTTCCTTATTTTGTATTGAATCCAAATACATTGCTTAATTTTAATTTTAATTTTAATTGTTTTGTTATTATAATAGCATAGTCTGACTAAGCACAGTTTATGGATGGTAGAAATATGATAATATAGATAATTT